ATCATTAATTACAATCAATAAAATTATATAACCTCTACCAATTTGAAAATGAAAAGAAACGCACATAACACTCCACGCGTAATTTGTAATGTTGTAAATAATTATAGTAAAAGCAACTTGTTACAGAAACTCCTCACTCTTACATCTACCTTCGAGTACATAATCATTCATTTAATGAAGAAGTGTGGCAATAGTGATAGCAGTAATTATTTATAATACAAATTCAACACCTAGTGAGTTAAGCTCTACTTTTTCTTCATATTTTTAACAAATTAAAAAAATATATCACTGCAATAAATAATTGATCGCATAAGCATGTGCCTGACCTGCGTAAGCAACAACAACAACAACAACACACATTAAAAATTATATAATCTCAATTACTTTTAAGTCATGCGAATATTGCACTCGTCTACGAGCACTATATCGGGAATATTCGCCGATTATGTTTATTATGCACTGCGTCCCAGTTTCGTTTGACCTGCATTTATTTTTTGCGCTTTGTTTTTAACTTTCGGTGATTCGTTTTGACACACTTGTTACTTTCTGCTTTATATAATATATGTACTAATGTATAAACAAATAGTATGGTGATGACATATAATTTGCAAAGAGTGTTTACTTGGATTAGTATCATTGCAATAAAAAATATGACGGTGCAGGCTGTTTAGTTTTGGTCAGGTGGTGTCACAACCGAATAACCGACAATATGAAAATGTGTTAATTGTGTTAAGGTCGCAGACTATCGAATTCCATCAATAGATTGAAATTGGTGGTGATTACAGAAACATTGCTTAACAATAAAAGTTACAAGTTAAGTTGTTATAATGTTATATTTGGACAAAACTTATTTTTTTGTGTTTTATGTTAAAATTTTAGAAAAACTTTGTTAATTTAGTTTTTTTCTAGAAATACAGAACAAATTGAAATAATTGATTATATTTATATCCAATAAAATTGAATTTCAGTCTTTAGGCACAGGCTGCACCGGCAAACGTCGTATCCTATTAATTATTTTACTACATTTAATTCAATTAAAGATAAAAGTTATTAATCGAAAATGAATTGTGCAACATTGTTGCTCCAGATTCTGATTCAGCTATAAAACAACCTCACAGCTAGTCACAAACTTGGCTATCCGTGTTTAAAGTGCCACTTTTTGAACATTTATAACTCGAAAACAGCAGTTAAATAAGTATTTTTAAGAATGTTGTAAAACTTCGATTTTATTACAACAGACAGAAGAAATAATGGATTTTTTTCCGTTGTGCGCAGGCGCAAGCTTCACCCCGCGACTAAAACTCGTGACTAAAGTATTTTAATCACAGCCTTGGCCGTCGGTGTTTAAATTACCACATTATGTATTTAAAAACCGTGGAAATCAATGATTTATTTAAATTTAGAAATCATGATCCATATTGTCATTAACCAATAATTAATCATGAAATAATAAAATAGACATTGTATCATGCAAATGATCATTAATCGCAACTTTACGTGTTTGAACTCTTCCGATAACATAGTTTTCCAAACGTAATTACAAATATTGATGTTTCAACAATTGTCAATGTTCGATTACATCCCGTATAAGTCGTATTAATGTCATGCCATCCGGCACACCACGACACACTTTAAATCTATACTTATTTTAATATTAATATGATTATAACATTTCCTTTTCACTTTTTATTTCAACTTGAGTTGTTGAACTTTATCTTGTGTCTACTATACTGGTATCTCTTGCTACATAAACGTTTTTTCTTCTTTTTCTTCTTTTAGTCTGCCTCTACTAAAGTATGTAGAAATAAAATGGTAATTTTTTGAATGTAAAATAGAATACTATTCTATTTTCATAATCTTCGTTTTTTTAAAGCTCGCTTAACTGATATTTATCATCTTGCTTAATATGAAGTAAGACGATATTAAGATGATGTTTAGATGAACGTAAATATATTTTTTATGTTGATGTTAAAGTGCTTTTTATATGCAGGATTACATGCGGCATTGTCCTTGAAAAGTGAAATTTTACTTTTTTACCGGTCTTCTCATTAGTGCACAAATGCTTCTAGTAGACTTGGTGCAGTCGAACTTCTAACGTTGCAAGAATTATTAATTAATATCGATAACTTTCTTTTTTCATTATTTATCACACGGTTTAATGGTTCAGTTTTCGAAACCAATCAATTTATTTTTTATAATTTATTATATTTCAAATTAATTAATGCAAAATTCATATATATTATAACACTGTTTGACATTTGACTCACAATGAAGTTTATTTAATTTTTTTTTGTCACAAAGATTTTTATACCAAAATTTTTTAAAGTAGTTTTAGTGGTTGAATTCTGCATTACCTACATCTGAATTATTATCTGCAAATGCGCAGGCGCAAGCTCCACCCCGTGACTAAAGTCCGTGACTAAAGTTCTTTAGTCACGGGTTTGACCTTCGTGTTAAAAGTATCACTTCTTGTGCCTCAGATTCGTAAAAAAAACTGAGGTTTTAATGGTGGAAGTATAAACATTTTTCCAAATCCAAAAATCGACGATGAAATTATTCTCAAAATTGCAAAATTGATAATAAAATATTTGTTTTAAAAAACGAAGAAAGAAAAAATCTATAAAATTGAATACCGCAAATGACAATGACCACAACAACGTTCCTTAATTACAACCAAAGAATTTAGCAGTTCTTGAGTGAATTATTTGGCAACGAATAATAGCCCATTATTTTGGTAGTATTAATTTGATGTAATGGGTACACGCGGCAACTGTGTATAAATAATTGAATAATAAACCCACCAAATTGCTCAATTGTGTGTTTAGCCGTGTGTATTTCTACTATTTCTACACATCTTTTGTCCTGTGATTGGGCAATTAAACTTTCGTTCGACCACATCGACAATTGCTACGACCTTAGCCTTAGTAATTAATTAATTAATTAATTAAATAAATAATTAATCAAAATTAAAATGGAAATACTACTAAATTAATATTTTAATAAAATATACTTTCACATGACATAATAAGAATATTACATACACGTTTATAATGCCATTAATACTTTTATAACGATGCGCGGCTTAGAATGCGGCAGAAAGCAAGAATACGAATAAAATGGTTCAATGCTCAAACGAAAATGAAATCGAATGATTCAAACAAGAAGTAGAACCAGTAGTCTGGTCGCATAATACCTGCATAAACACGTAGTTGTAGTCGTTTGTCGGCCGGTTAGAAATAGAATACGAGAGTTAAATGTTATAAATGCATTCTGGTTTCGAGAAAGGTGGAATTAAGTTGTTGTATTCTTCAGGATAATTTACAATGCAAATTATTTTCGATTTTTTACAACAGACAAAAGAAATAGTGGATTTTTTTGTTTTTTTGCGTTGTACACAGACGCAAACTCCACCTCGTGACTAAAACCCGTAGATAAAGTACTTTAGTCACTGCCTTGGCCGTCTGTGTTGAAATTACCACTTTATATGTCTCAAAACAGTGAAAAAAGGTGGTATAAGTAGAAAAACAATTTTTAAATCGAAAATTTAATTTTACATAAAAAATTTAAATAAAAATATTTTTTTATAAAAAAAAATTTTTCTAAAAGTCAAAATATTCGACTAAAAAATTTTATTAGTTAAAATTTCTTCATAGTTTTCTTCAAAAACGCAAAAATTGTCTTTGCGCATAAACCCACACTTGAAATAAAGTTAAATGTCAGGGAAAAGCGTTAGAAGTTGGAAGTCAAGTAGCAAATTGCATAAAATCGTGTTGCAACTGCAAGTCGGTGAAACGAGCGAAGCAGGAACGAAAGCGCCCATCGCCGGCGAATTTGTCCGCAAACGCATGTAAACTTAACTTAAGTCTGACTTAGGTTTAAGCCAGCTTGACGACCTGACATGCTAACGACACATCAAGTGCACCAGCCGCTGCACTGGAAATTATACCGGCGGAGCACTGAGGCAGCAGCGTATGGAAACGTATAATTTGCGCATAAATGCATCGCTAATCACCACTGCTTGTAATTACTGCAATCACATGCATCATATATGATCAAGGAAGTGGGAAAATTGGAGAATTTTTATTTAGGAACAACTAACAACAGTTTGACAAAAAGTTGCGCATTATTTGCATAAATGTTGTACGTTTAATGACTTTTCAACCTTCGCGTCTACGCAAGTTGCATTTCCTGATTTTAAATGTTAAACGTTGCAACACAAACTCTCTCTATTTATTTATATGCCTTTGCTATTTGTTTTCTTTAGAATATCTGATTTAGTTGCGAATTTGTTATTACAGCATAAGCAAAGAAAAACGTTTTGTATTTGTGTTACCTTGAACTAATTTAGAAAAAAAATGAAAATTATTGTAGACATTTAAATGTGATTCATGAAACAATTACAAGTAACTATTGTGATTGTGGTAGTATTTTAATCTGGTTTTAAGTTGGCGCAAGTCGTGTTCCAATAGCTGCAAGAACCTAAGCAGGAGAAAGAATTCAATCACAATCACAATTAAACAATATAATTTATTACGAAGGTAATTCAAACAACTTGTTGGGTGTTAAGGTAGAACAACTTTCAATAAAATGCAATTGTAATTGAAATTGCGTATTGAACATTGCTAATAATTTGTTGTTATTGATTTAAACAACTTTTTTCTACTTCCATAAGTTTTTCCACGGTTTTCAAGCATAAAAAGTGGTATTTTAAACACGGATGACCAAAAGCGCGAGTAAAGTACTTTCGCCACGGGCTTTAGTCACGGGTTGGAGGTTGGAGCATATAAAATTTTACAAAACTGTAATTGTATTATGAGACACAAAAAGTTGTTTTTCATACAGGTAAGGACAAAACCGTGACTAAAGTAGGTGACTAAAGTAAAGCATACTATTTAAATCTAAAATGTAATATTAATTAAACTATTCAAACGTACATAAAACGCAAACATTTTTTCCAAGACAAAAACACAAATTGCTAAAATATAACCAAAAATTAAAAACCAAAATGGCGCCTGCAAATGTTCCAGATTTAACGCTTTTGGTATATTTGGCGGGGGCTTGTTGTCCAAATAGGCTAAAGTTGCAAATACTTTATAATAAATTCTGTATATTTGCAATTCCCAAGCGTTAACCAATCCATTCTCAAAAACCCTCTGCATATAAATGTTGAATTGTGGAATTAGAGACGCATACGCACTATTTCTCGCCAGAATATGTGTATAACCTGATCTGTCTCTGGTTTTCATGGGCTGAAAATCCATATTATAGAATATATGAGCACTTTTACAAACTGAAATAATTAAAAGTATAAATTCTGTAATTTATTAGATTTGCAAAAAAAATTTACGTCCACTGCTTGTCACAAAACTAGGAAATATTATAGTTCCTTCTTCTCCTTTTTTTACTTTGTCCATGACTTTGTCTTGAAGTTTAAACAAATTGTTGATTTCGTCCATTCGCTAATAAAATTAAAAAAATATTTTTAGCCAAGATACGAATGTATGAATATACTGATAATATTACATCAAATAAAGAGACATCTCTATCATACAATGCAAAGACTCCATCATCAAGTGTCAATTTAATCAGACCATGATTTGCAATATCCTCGTCATTTTTAATTTCTGGCTCATATTGCGGAGAAATCATTTGAGTAACAACACCAGATGCAAATAAAGAAGAAAACAAAACCACCAAGATAATCGCAAGTGCAAAAATCGATCGAGAACGAAAATGCAGCGGAATTTCTTCCACTCTTATCGGTTGCAATAAAAACAAACCAAAAACAGCCCAAAACGGTGAAACAATCGTACTATTTTTCCATAAAAACTTTTCGAACTGATAATACACAGCCACAGATAAACCTGAAAGTAATATTAATACCCATAAAGGACCTTCAAACACTCTCACCAACTGCAACCAATGATTTTCTAACCTAAAAATATTTATATTAATACAGAAGTGTTAAATGTGTTGCATACCACTGGAATTACTTTGGTTTAGGCACATAATACACTAGAATGTAATGTGTCGCAGCATAAGTCTGCGGATTATAAGCTTGAATTGAACTTCTCGCTGCCAAAAAGAACGATGGTTTAACAAAAGATGCATGTATAATAGACTCATTTTTTGCCAGAACAATCGTTGATATATTAAGATACTTAGCAAATAGATTTATGAAAATAATATCCAACGCAACAAAATTCACATTATTATTAATTATGTGTATGTGTAATAATGGATAATCCAAATTCACTTCTATATTTATAATAGTACCAGGATATTTACTCCAGTAATTATCAAAAAATCGATCAATGCTATTCTCTGGACTGTTATAAATAAATTTTTTAGATTTAACATCCCAGCTGTTTAATGTCGCAAATACATTTTGATCCAAATTAGAATATACAAGTATATCAAAATGATCCTGTGCTGTTACGGCGTCAATTATAACAACATTCAGACCATAATTGTAAGGTTGAAGTTGATGTAGATAAATATTTGTTTCTTTTAGTATTATGATGGCTTTAATGTCGGTGTTTCTATTTTGGATCATACATGAATGGTATGGTGAAAATTGTTTAAATATTAAGAGTAAAGGAGGATCTTCTACGATGAATTGTCGGCAGCCATGACTGCATGTGAAGTCGTTTAATATGACTGGATATTTATCCGCCATTGGAGATATTTGTAGGTTTATGTATTTATGTGGGGTGTAGTAGGCTATGCATTGGTCTGGTTGGAAATGTTTTGATGTTATTACACTCACGAGAAGATTCAGGGACAGTTCGATTTGCAACAACATTTTGTGTGTTAGTTGGGAAGGTACTGAGAATATAGGAAATTTGTATTTCTAAATATGTATAATGTAAATATGATATTGTTGTCAGCGATGTGAATGTTTTGGTGTCAGTAAAATAGGAATAAATTTAGTTAAGCACCAGTTTTAGGCGTTTTGGGTAATTGGAATAAATATGCTTGATCGGCACTTCAGTGTCCAAATGATAATTGAGCTGATTTTAAGAGGGTAGGGTTGTTCTAACTCAGTTAAATTAGCAAAAAAAATAAGCACAATTAACATAAAAAGTTTTTTAAGCTCAAAACGTGCTGTTTTGCTATAATAATAATTTTCAAGCATTTTAGATCGTTGAAATCGTTCAAATTAATGCAATTTTATTAAAAAAACCCAACAATAAAGCATAAAATTTGTCCAAATTTTGAATATCCCCGCAAATAAAAGATAAAATGTCTTCAACCGTATTAGTATTGATGGCAATAGTATAATAAGTATTAATCGGCAAAACGGAAGTGTTTATAACGAGATTGATTGAAAGCAAGCATAGCGAGCGTTTAATCAATCGGGTGTTTAACAATGTTTAGCCACGTGATGTTTACGATATTTTTTTTTATTTTAAAATGTTGAAGTGGGTGTGAAGTGGTGTAAATGTGAAGCAACTTTCAATAAAATGCAATAATGGTAACAAGTTGCATTGAAAGTTCATACCGGTAATTGCAAATATGTAATTTGCTCTCAAGGTTTCGAGCGAGGTTTCTTTCTAAATCATAATATTCATAATTGTAGGATAAAAATTAAAAAAATTTTTTGACAAAAACGCTCGCAAATGTTTAAAATTTAATCTTTTGTCAATTAGAAATATTCTGGTGGTAAATAATTTCGATCACATAAAAATAAATTCCATTAAACACACTTTTTGACTGTTTTATTCAATATATATTAATAATCCTTTTATATTCGTTAGTCACTAATGTATCAATATAATATAATTACCGAAAAAATATTAATAAAGCGAATGAAAATATGTACTATCAGTTAATAAAATTATCCATTATTAAAATGGATAAATCAATTACTAAATTATTCAAAATTACCCACCATTTTACTTTCTTTTTATAAACAAATGTTTTGAACTCCTTGATTAATTTATTGTCGCTTTAATCAAAGCTTTGAACTCTATGTGTAATGTCTCGTATGTAATGATGTGTTGGCATAGTCCATTTCACTTTTAATTACAACTAGACCGCATTGCATGCCTATCATTGTAAGTAATACCTACATAATGCAATTAAAACACTTACATAAAGTTGTAGACAAGCACAACTGTCGTTTATGGGCATTATTATAGCGGGCAAAGATAATGCCGACAGGCACGAACATTTCATTAATGCGACTGTAACGTCAACGAAATGTTAAGTAATAACAAGCTGCCTGAATTTAATAATTCGTTAATTTTCATTCACAATACTTTTATGTTATTAGTTGGGTTATATTATTAACATTAGGGGTATTTTGTTTAAAAAATATAACTGAATTGATGAATATTTGGGCAGAGAGAGAAAAACTTGCAAAAATTCGTATTTTTTCTACTTCTACATTTAAAGCGCTTGCTTTTTACGGTTTTGAGGCACAAAACAAAGGCGGTGACTAAAGGACTTTAATTGTTTTCCTCAGGAACCGTTTTTGCTAAGAATTCACAAAATTACAATTCAAAGAAATTAATTTCAAAGCAAATCGGCAAGTTCCAACATGCAAGCATCACTCCGTGACTAAAGCTCGTGACTAAAGTACTCTAGTTTTTTCCTCTGGAACCGTTTTTGATATGAATTCACAAAATTGCCATTCAAAGAAATTAATTTCATAACAAATCGCCAAGTTCCAACGCGCAAGCTCCACTCCGTGACTAAAGCTCGTGACTAAAGTACTCTAGTTTTTTCCTCAGGAACCGTTTTTGTTATGAATTCACAAAACCCGTGACTAAAGTACTTTAAACCTATCTGTAATTTTTAACCACATTTATTTTTTCAATTATTATAAAACTAGCTAAAATTATTGTTTTCCTCAAGCTTCATGCTCATAACTGAGGCCATTTTAATTTTAATTTTAATTTTTCTTCCTTATAAACCCACACATGCAATAATAAGTTGAATCCAACATAAACGCACCTAATAATATTATGTGCTCACATCGCAATACAGAAAAACATGTGTGACGCTTCGCTTTCTAATCAAACAGCGTTAAAAATTATATTTGAAAATAATTAAAATAACGCGCACGTAACACCCGACACACTTCACAACTTGCACTTTAAAAACTCAGAACAAACACCAGAATCCACAATATTTATCAATTACAAAAATTTGTAAATTTTAAATAAAAGATTAAAATATTTAAAACAAATGAAAGTAAAACATAAACCATAAACCATAGACAATATAAAATACAAAAACACAGAAATGTAAATCCAATTGGCATACGCGTAACATAAAGTGTTACGAGTTACGCACCTGGCCACAAGGCGTACACTTTTATATAATCATTAATAGATTTCGTGTTATGCATTCTATCGTATGAATGAATGTATCATTCGAAAATGTAAAATCTTTTATTTTGTGAATAACTTAAACGTTAAGCATTTATTAGCGCTTCGCGCGCTTGCAGAAGCGAAAGAAGAACATTAAGAACACCACAGAACAACGTTTTGTTGACTTTTGGCGTTTCTTTTATTTAATATTTGTTTAAAATTGTTCTGGTGCCCGATTTCTCCGCGCTAACTGGCTGAAATGATCAACAGCTCATATTGACACTAATTTTTCGGTCTTGAAACGCTTCGAAATCGTAAACAACTAATTTTTTACTTGAAATAAAAGAATAAGCAATTTTTAAGAGACAAAAAATACTAAAAAATGCATAAAATTTTCTTTTTGCTTTAATTCCAAGGCAATAAAACGCAATTTAAAAAATTTTAAAATAATTAAAAATGAAAAACTTACTTTTTAAAGCCCAGCTTTCAGTACTCTTCAATCCTTTAATGTATTTTTCCACATCTTCAACACATCCACCAGTCAAACCCTTGATGATATTCGGGAAATTCTGAGCGAGGAGTTCCGTATTATAAAAATCCAAGGCTTTCGCCAAACTTTGCGCTTTATCGCTCGGCGCGTTATCAATATCTTCACTCGCGAACACACCAACATGTCTATACACGCATGCTATCACGAACAGCCACGCTGTTATCCGCGCCATTTTCAAATAAATAATTTTTCACCCCTTAAAATTATTACCTTAATTTAATCACTGATTTAATCTGATTATTCACTAATATTTAAAATGTTCCCAACCGTCAGAAATAAAACATTGTGGAATAAAATAAAATAAAAATCAAAAATTCGTTGTTATCAGCACGCGGTCGTTGTTTGAAGTGTGCTGTTGGTGTCGAAGCGCGTTTTCTTGTGAATTGCGGTGGCTGGTTGGTGTTCGGGCGCACGTCGCACTTCGGCGCGTGAGGTTCCCTGACCAGGTGGGGCCGATTACTTTCTCTCTCGATTTATTCGGCGATACGAGCGTTCGTAATACTCTGGTAATACTTACACGGCAGAAGGCAGTGAGTTATCTGCGCGTTTGTCCCCGCAGGAATACATACCTTTTCGATTTCGACTCGATCGCGAGGCGCGAGACGTGTTTATGTAATCGGATTGAAAGTTTGTGGCGTTTGCGGTGAAGCATCTTTCGCTTTCAAGCAGATTTTAAGTAAATGACGGTCAGAGGTTTCAAATTAATGTTTCAGGTACGAATTTATTGAAATAGAATAAAAATCAAATCAAAAAACAACAACATTTTTTTTACGTTTTACTGAAGATAAATTTGTTTTATTTTGGGTTTTATTAACTTAATCATTGATTTTTATGTTTAGCTTTAATATTTTCATCGTGTTTTGAGATGAAGTTGATTATTGAGCAAAATATGCCAAGAAAAAGCTTAAAATTGTGAAAAAACGTCAAAAAACGTTAAATAACTTAAAATATAAATATTTTTGCATAAAATTTCCAAGAAATGACATAATAATAATAATATCTTCCATACTTCCCATATTTAATTTTAATTCTTATTCCATAATACGTTTTGTCGCAATTTGTTGCCACATACATTTTAATATCTAGTCTTTGGTCAACGTTGAGTTTGTTCATATTTGTAAGAACAACTCTCGTGCGTTTCGTGCTGGCACCAGACGCAATAACCAATGCTTAAGATTTCCGGTGTTTGGCAATCGTTCAGCCGTGTCTTGTGCCACGTTGTACACGTGAATATGTACTAACAATTAGACATTCGGTACTAATTTTCATATTTATTCTTACTTTTCTGTGCACGTTCATTATTCAAATGGGCACGATCACTTTTTCACCTTCAACGCAGTGGGCACTTTTATTGAAAGAATTAATTATTATAATAATAAGTAATATGCAGAAATTGTTTCAAGGATGAAAATACTTTTTGAATGACAATAAAATAGAAAATCTTTTTTTTTCTTAGAATTTGTAAGTGAAAAATGTAATTTTTGGTTAAAATCGTTAAAATTAATTGTATTATTGACCTGAAATTAATAATAATAATTATAATGATTGTGAAATTTAATTAAATGAGTAGAATTTTGCAGAACTTACAATAATAAACAATTTTCACGTTGTATATTTTAATTTCACTTAGTATTTATAGTAGGCAACCCACAATACACCAATTTAGTTTATAATTCATTTGAATTTGTTTATTTATTTAAAACTATTGGATGTTTCAATTAATAAATGGATAAAATGTTGGAATTATATGTAAATTCAATAATTTCATTCATATTTTTATAATAAAAGGATTCCAGACGTTCAAAGCTCAAATTTGTTCAACAAAAAATAAGTTTAATTTACAGTTACCTGTTAAAAATTACACCATTATCACCAGATTCAAACGTAATTGTTATTTTAACAAAATATAAACTTTTGCACTTTTTTATTAAAATGTCTGACGTACGTCAAGTTTCCTAGTTTTACTGTTTCTACGGTTTCTCATAAGCCAACTAACCTCTGAAAACAAAATCATTCAGTTTCGTCCGTGGAGTGCAATCAAATTCAATCTTTTATCTAATGTACACAGTTGAGAATTAATACCTACGTGTTTCAATACAAGCTATTGAAAACAGCCATATTTTCAATTTACGTTGCGGGTCTCAGTGTGATCTCAGAGCTCAGGAGAATAAAAGCTTGATTATCGAATAAACTGCGATGCCGGATTTCAGTCCTCTCAGCCCTTTTGTTTATTGGGCACAAAATGAAGAAAACATCTTTTTAAAATTGAACTTACAGATGTAAAGGTAATAATAATAGCTATAATATATTCACATTAAATTTAGTATGTAAATTCCGCAATACTTTTCATAATATTTGTTTGTATGTGTGTAGAACCCTGACATTTCCCTGGAAGACAGGAAGATCACCTTTCTTTCAACTGGTTTAGGTGCAAAAGGCCTGCATAAATATGGTTTCAGTCTAGATTTTAATGACTATGTCAATCCAGAGGTAATAAATACTTTTTATTAATACTTTGAACAATAATATGAAATTATTTTGTTTTGTGTTATAGGCAAGCAATTATAAAATACTGGATCGTAAAGTGGAGTTTACAATCCAGAAGACAACAAAAGCATGGTGGAACAGGTTGACCTCACAGCCATCCAAGCCTGCTTGGCTTAAAATTGACTTTGATAAATGGCAATCTGAGGAAGACCTTAATGATGAAGATGAGGATGTTAGAGATGTGAGGGAAGACTATCCTGATGTGTATAAAAAGTTGCAGCAAGAAGAAAAAGGTTATTCGAAAGGTAATAATCAATATTTCTATTAATTTAATTTAATGACAATAATTTTCATCCACAGAGGATTGGAAAAAGGTCTACTTAGCTTTCTACAATTTCGGCATGTACATTGGCTTCCTGTACGTGTTAGTTGTGATAGGCATGCGCTTCCTTAAAGATGGCGTCGACTCTTACGAGGGTACCTACGCCGCCGTCGGTTACATCATGGTTACCCTCCAATTATTGCAATTCATGGAGGTCCTGCATCCAATATTTGGATACACCAAAACCAACATAATAATGGCATTCATGCAGGTTTTCGGCCGATTTATGGTGATTTGCATTCTCATTGACCCCGAGCCACGCATGCAAACCAAGCCGGTTATCTTCTACTTGTTTTTCGTGTGGTCTGTTATCGAAATCACGCGCTATCCGTACTATATCACGCAGATCTACAACAGAGAGAACGGTTTGATCACTTGGCTGCGTTATACCATTTGGATTCCATTGTATCCGCTGGGTTTTGTCTGCGAAGGTGTTATTATGCTGCGCAGTATTCCTTACTTTGAGGAGACAGGCAAATTTTCGCTTTCCTTGCCTAACAGTTACAACTTTGCATTCAGCCTGCCGCTGATAATTCGTTGTTATTTATTGTTCTTGCTTTTGCCTGGTATTTACACGTTAATGTCGCACATGTACAAGATGCGCGTGAAGAAGTTGGGGCCGAATAAGTGGCAGAAATCGCGGAAGGTCAAGTAAATATACTTGGAACAAGAGTCAATCGTAACAGTCAGTAGATATCCCGCCAGTAAACCTTATAGTCACTTGTTGCAGCTATTCGGAGTTGCAAACAGGCAAAATCGCTTTAAGATTTAATCAATTAGGAACCATGACGTTTGAATTATTGAAAATTTCATGCACATAAAGTTGCAGCGTATTCTTAAATCTTTCTATTGTCGTAATAATTATGTGGTTAAATAGTTCAACATTGATTTTCAATAAATTTTGTATATTAATTACGAGTAAAACGATTGGAGATTAGTTCGTGTAATGAAAGCTTTATTTAATGTTTGTGCACAACATTTTTATGATAAGCAGATAGGTTTAAGATAATAAATGATGCATTTTCAAAAGCGAGCCTTAAATTGACGTCGTTGAAGCGGCATTCCACGGCGATATTGTGAACCACGAGATGGTGGTGCATATGCTAAACAATTAAAAATTATAAACAATAAGCAGAAGAATGAAATATATTAATATTTACCATCAGCATCGGGTTCCATCATCGGATTGTATGCGTGTTCCGCATTCCCTGGACCTATTTATTCATTTGGTAAATGTTTGTACAATAATATTGATGATAAGTGAAGATATTTACGATATTCGCAGGAATCAACAGTTCTTTCTGAAGATGGCAGATCAATGGATGGATTATCATACATGTCGGGATCTCCTGTTGTGGCACAGACGCATTGTTCTCCTTGCTCGTTAACATACTGATACATGCTTATGCATCTAACGGCATGAACCGCCAGAACAAAAATGAGCACAAATTTCTTCATCTTTGATTATTTTAAAACTGTTTTTGGTTAGTGGTGCCACTGCAATGCACGATGATGCACAATGTGAATAATAACATAATTCGATCTTGTTTATATACATTCTTTAAAAGCTGGCAGAGTTTTAAGTTTTGATTTGCATGAAATTAGTACATGCGTTTTGTAATTGATTTCGCTTTTATTCAATTACTTATTGATGTTAACTAACAAATTGCGCGTGCCAAGATTATTCTGATTTAATGCATGATTACCTACAATGCGATATAAACATTTGGATTTAATCGAGGATCGAGGATTGAAGGACAGAAAACGTTTATTGTGTTTTTTCTTTTGACGCATGAAATATGAGTTCAATTATTGGTTGTATCGAGGCTTGAGAGTTTGACATAATTTAAACAAGCAAATAGATTCTGTCATGTGTTGGTGGAATAACAGAATCAATCATTAACATTCAATCAATTTCTATAAATCCGAAAGAAAAACTATTATTGATAAAAATGAATTAATTAATCCTAAATAACTTTTATCAAATAAAATGAAATGCATAAATTGAATTACAATGTATTTTGAGCATAGACATTTCTTGTAAAACAAGTTTTGAATTAATTTTTGTAATTTTAAGTTTTTTCTGTCAAACAACAAACGTTGCTATGGTGTAAAGTGGGTTGCCCACCTGATTAATAGAAAAACACATCATATAAACAAGCGTCCTTAGGAAATTCCTAAAATAATCACGAAAATAACAGTGTCGACATAGTTACCTTCATAAAACTAATGAGAATCGAAGAATAAGCTTCAAACATGATATCTAACACATCAAACGTGCCTCCCGCGCAAGATATGCCGGCGAAATTAAAGGTAAACCATTTGCACTCATATAACCCCAAAGGATTTTCCCCAAATTTAGGTTTAAATGAATTATTTAAGGATAATTCGTCTCAGAAAGGAATTCTGGACGTAGTGCTTAGTCTCCCTGCAAATTCGACACCCGCTGAATTGATGCGAAACGCATACAACGACCATGGCGATGTTATAACATCAACACCTGTGATTCTTTCGTTTCCACCAAAACGCCCTGTATCAAAACCAATATCACCATTTCAGTTGAAAAGCATTCTTATGGAGCATTGCTATGCTCGGCCGGGGAATTGGAGACCAGATTCACACTTTCTACGACCCGCAAATACATTATTTATTGATGATGCAGAAAACAAAGACAAGTTGGTTGCAGACCAGGAGGATACAATTGATGTTTGTGATGTTGATGATACCAAACTTCCACATTATGATGTAGAAGCAGCTAGGGGGCTGATGGATGAGTGTGACAAACATGTAGTTGGTGTTAGGGATACTGAAGAGTTTGAAGATTGGGAAGTAAAAGTACCTAAGTAAGTATTTATACACCAATTAAAAGGAAAGTTTAAAAAGAATTATTTCTCACTTCAATTTAGGATAAATTGGTCAAAAATCCAACACAACATGTTCAGTAGCATTGTTGAGATATTAAACTCTGATAGATTATCACGTCTTGCATTCACTGATAACGCAACGGAACCAGCGCTTCGTCGATCGGTGATTGAGAAATCAGTGAAACGTTTTCGTCGTTTGATGGCTCAATACATGTGGGATGTCAAGTTAATTCAGTGGCTACACTCAGTCCTCATGGAATATCTCAACGCATGGCTTCTGGGTGCATACCTAGACATTTTACAGGTATTAATACATTTAAATATTTATTTAATTATTAATTTAATAACACCAAATCATCTACAGACACTCAGTCATAAACTACCGACTTTTGTTGAAAAACTAATGGGTGATCCAAATACCCACAGTCGCCACAGTTGTCTAAACTCAGAAAATCTCCAAAAAATCATGAAACGCGTTTGGGATCCGGTTGGGGTAGTCCCCCATTCAGAGCGACTGAAACTAATCCCGGGAGATCCAGTGTTAGTTGTCATTCCCAGCGCCATTGCTTTAGCTACCAACACACAGTCAAAGCGAATGCTTAGATGGATGGGTTTCTTATCAAAAATAGGCACTGTTGTTCCAGTGACGTTAAATAATCCTAGCAGTAAGAATATGAGCATGGTGCATTGCGCCGATCAAGCTATGCTTGCCACTCGTGCGAAATTACAAGATGTGCAACAAGAATACACTGGCCGAGCGATTTTCTTGGTTGGTCTGCATTCAGGTTCGGCGATTGCACTTCAAGTTGCGCATGTTGAAGCAGTCTTGGGTGTGATATGCCTTGGTTTCTCTGTGAATACATCGGCGGGTAGACGTGGGGAACCTGATGATAAACTTTTGGATTTAATTGCGCCAGTGTTGTTTGTTATTGGACAAGTTGCTCATACATCATTGTAAGTTTTTCTATTTCAATTTTCTATATGTTTTATTATGGGTATTTTTGTTAGGCAGGAGAATCTCGAAGATATTCGTGAGCGTATGAATGTGGAAACAGGTCTGCTTGTCGTTGGAGGCGCTGACGATTACCTCCGTGTAAATAAACGTGTGAAACGCGCTGAAGGCATCACTCAGCACATCGTTGACAGATACATCATTGAGGAGGTGTATGATTTTGTTAGTGGTTTGCTCCTGTCGCCATTTCCACCTCAGATGCGCAAACATAAAAACGCGAATGCAAACGCACCGGAAATTGGTGCAAAACGCCAGAAAACTGAACGTAAACGCAATAATTCTAACGGTAGTTCTCTGGATAGTGAACCACCTTCACCTACACCTCGAGCTGCTCGTCCAGCACCAGGTTAGTCATTGTTTAATATTTATATTTACTTTCGTAATTAAATTTTTGTTTCTTTTGTTACTAGTCGGTCGAAATCTGACGGCTAAAACAATTCGTAAATTAGATGCAAAGTACTACTCCAAGTTTGAGGGTAATTACGTGCCAAGTTCGCCCTCTTCGAATTCTATCACACCTCCGAATCCACCTAGCACACCAGAGAGTTTTATGGACGGTGATTTCCATCACAATAAAACACCTGCAATGGATACTGTTATAAATGGTATTATAACACATTTTTTTTCTGTTTATGGTTTAGAATTGTGATTAAAACTTTTAATTTTTTAATTTTTAATAGCTAAACTTCAAGGGATCTATTCACAGTCACCGGGAATGTTACCACATGTAAAACAAGCTGGAGGCTTGAAAATCATCCCGCCTAATACCCAGAAACTGAAAGGTAAAAAAATTAATTTAATTTTTAATTAATTGACATGCTTCATGGAATTTTTATTTCTAGTCCTTGATAGTATTATTATACCGAAATCAGGACCTCGTCCTGAAGTGATAAAAACAAGTTATGGTACCAATATGGTGTTGATGCCTGACGGCCGATACAAAACAGCGCCACCACCTCCGGTTATTCGTGGTAGTGCCACTTCGCAACTTTCCAAGCTTTTAACTAGCGGACAAGTTATGACTGCTGGGCCACAATCTGCAACCAGTTCTACAGCACGTGCTAGTAAGTTTCACTTTTTCACACAATTTACACTCTAAAACATGAATTCCAAATATTTCGTAACAGGTTTAACCAAATTTATCACATCCAAGAAACAACTACAGGGAAATACTCCAAGAATTATAAAGAAAAACCCACCGTATGCCCAACTCCCTCCACCTGCGAATTTAACATCGCAAGACATCCTAAACTTGCCGATTATCTTCGCTGATGATAATCAATTACTGACTGATGTCCAACCGCCGCCGATTCGATTGTCAGGCGGGCAGCCTAAGTTGGTACTTGTGAACAAACAGGGTACGCCTGTCGTGCGGCATCAGACAACGATACATAAACGCCCGCTTACTAAAAAACTACCACCTGGCGCTGCATCCGCTATTAAATATTCCACAATGCCTTCAACAATTAGGATGGATATTGATATCGAAGGCCAGTTGGATGCGAATACAATTCATAAGAAGATGCCGACGTTTACTATGCGTAAAGCGGTTGATTCCACAGGGTACAAAACAGATCTGATGTCTTCGGACTTGATCACGACGAAAATCAAGCAGGCGATTGAGAAAACTGACGGCACGAGCGGCGATTCTCAGTTGTAATTTGCTTTTAGAAGAGACAATAATCGTTTATATGTTTATTATAAATGTAAGTATTTGACATAGTTGTTTAACTGATGGTGGCATCTCCATCTAAGGAATTGTAGAAAATATTGAGTTTCTTGCTCATTTCTTTACCAATACGGCGACTCGACGTCATCGGACCAGCATGACGACGAACTTCAATATCAGCTAATAAGTTTTCTCTTTCTTTATTGATGGAAAAGTCATACGCCTGCATAATAATAATAATAAATTGTTTCAATTTTATGTACATAGGAATATTTTCAAGTCAACGTACCTCCATTAGACTTGGAAGTGTGGGATACTTTTCAATTATTGATTCGGCTGTTTCCAACCGTGCTAATGGAAATGCCGTTATCTGTTGCTGCCAGAGGCGTTTCAATCCATTACCTTTTTTGTCGACTTTCACGCAGTCTTTGTTATCGCCCTTCATGTACCAATTTGTTGCCGCGTACTTTTCCTGCTGTTGCAATCTGTATAAAGTATAAAAACAAGAATTGTTATAATTTATAACAAATAGATTATGAATATTTACTTATAAGGTCGTTGGGCGATGGCTTTAGTAAACTGACAAAGTAAAGCCAGAAGATCTGCTGGGCCATTTAAATTTCTATAGCAACAATTGCAAAATATCTGAATTTCAGTGAGTGCAGTCATTACATCAGTGTAGGATAAACCTTGTTTGCCTTTTAGGTTCTTCACTTCTTTGTCAAGTCCAAGTACACCTAAGGATACTGATTTGTTTACGAAAATAGACTCAATTGTTTTTATGTGCTGCATGAGTTTATCTTGTTTGATAAACTCAAATAACTCCTGAGATGTTAGGATGAGCAATAAATCGGGGAGTTCTTCAACTGTTACAATGGGTTTTAATGTGCCACAATCATCATTGATTTGATGTGTGTGCAGTTTTCTTGTCCATGTAATTGTATTGGGAATTATTTGTGATTGCAGCTGGTAATTGCTTCCCAATTCTTTGAATGCACTGGTTAGATCTATAGTATTTTTGTTTGTTATGTTTTCATCTATAATTGCAGTAACAAACTGAAACAGAAGAAAGTTTGACATGTGTATGAGAAAATCTTGAAAAAGTAAGAAATTCTTGGCTACCTTTAAACATTCTTCTGGTTTTAGTTGTTTGTTGGCCTCACTCATCATCTTTTTAATCTCTTTGTGCTTAGCAGCTTCCAATTTTTTGTTTTCAGCATCTTGTTTTCTTTGTGCCCTTTCTAGGGCAAGCAATGCTTTTCTAGCTGGATCAACTTTATTAGGTGATTTCTTTTTAGTAATTTTGTTTGTTTTGTTTGGTGAATGAGGACTGTTATTAAGATTTGCCTTCTTCGAATTCTTTTTAATTGGAGACTTTAATTCATCTTCACTTTCAGATGAAGAGAGTTCATAGACTTTAAGTTTTGGCCTGTCTTTGCTAATTTTTGGTGATGTTTTGGTTTTTCTTGTGTTTGATTCAATTTCAGTGGTTGTCCCAATGCCGTATTTCAAAAGAATGTCATCTACGTTGAAATCCACACTCGTTTGTAAAATTGTAGCGTCTGGATCTTCCATAATTATCAATGTGTAAATATTGTTGATTTGAAGTTAAGATTTCAGTTTCAAATTTGTTTACATGTATCAGCTGTGAATATAACCGTTAAATACATAGGAGGTTACGTGTAATGAAAGTTGCCTAACGTCAAGTATGTAGTTATGAATTTAGTGAAGTTTACTAAATGGTGTTTCTTCGGAAGTTTTACAATACGATGAACGCATTCTAATTAGTAGATGTTTTATAAATAAACAAAAATTCAAATAGAATTGATCGTCAAGTTCACTTTCTATTATTGTTATTTTTACTGTGCTGAATTCTTTAAAAGTCTAAAAGTAAGTTTTCCATTTTACGATCGCGTTTCAAAGAATTACTTGTGTAAAACATTGAAACATATAAACAGTGGAAGCTGTAAAAATCACTATACTCTTTTTATGAAGAATTAATTTCTCTGGTCCTGAAAGTAGAAACAATTTCTTTAAAAAAAGTTCTAACTTTCGGAATTGTATAGGCAACTCTTTATACACTTAATTCATCATCAAAAATAAACTATTAAACACTTTTTAATCAAAAATGTTTAAAGTTGTTCAAAATATATTTTATTATTTGTTAAATTTGCCGTAATTTTAATACGCCAGAAATAAAACCTTATTATCTTTATAGCCGAAAATAAAAAGGCCGTAAAAATTTGATTTCATCAAAAAAACCACAATTAAATTGAAATACAAACTTGTAAAACACCAAACTCGGCAATAAATTGAAAATAATGTTCATTTGATGTAAACACATCATAAATATGCCAAAGATCAAAACAAAAGCTACACAGCTAATACTAAATCTTTCCACAGCGATTTTATTAAAATTTCCAACGTTCCAACGAAAATATCGTCGAAAGTTTCGCAAAGTTTTGATTACGCACAGCAGGAGGATGAACCATAAAATATAAAGCAAGTTATCTGACACAATCATGTGTTTGCCGACACCACCGCAATCGCCGCGCGATATTTTCCATGCATGCAAGCGAATCAAACGCGTCCGTGCTCATGCCCACGCCGCAGCACTAAATGATTAATCCGCGTGCAATCCACGGCGTAATTTAGTTCGCTCAATTTAGCCCTCGTACTCGCCGCTCAACCGCGCGCATCTAACGTAGATAGTAAAAGTTTCAACTTGTTTTAACGCGGGCGGGCGCGCGCACACGCCGACATAAACGAATTCCTAAATTACATCGAGGCGAAACAGCCACGGCACATTAACGAGATAATTTAAATTGATCTATGCCACCCGTGCAGCACATAGGCAACCCGTGTTGCATATATGTTTGCGCTGAAGTTTCGTTGAATTCATTGCGAAATTCCGACGTGAAAACGACGATAAACCCAAAGTTTCCACGTCGGACTTAAACGTCGGAAGGCATGCACGTAAATCGCGCAATAAGATCGCGCGCGTGAATAACAAAATAGCAAATTGTAGCAAATCCCAAAGTCCCCGGACGGCCTGATTTCCATCTCAATGGGAAACTTCTTTGGATCACGGCCAGTCGCGTCGTGAGGCGCAAAACCGTTCAAATCTGATTCCAATAAAGGACACATTCTTTCGATTTCTTTTTTTTTGCGTGTCCTCGCACCCGGGAGACATTTCGACAACGAAATCCGGATCGTTTTATACGAAATTCCAACTCTGACTCCCCAGAGATACATATATAATGATGTTTTCTATAAAAAACACTGAAATTTAAAATCATTTTATTAATTTACAATAATATCATCTTTAAATCTGTATAATGCATAATATACATTGTTACCACTTTGATTTCAGACAGTAAAATGCATACCTCTTGAACATAACAATACAATATTTGATTATGAACATTGTTTGACAATAAATTCGTAACCGTTGAATATAATATACAGATCACTAAATAGTTTTTCTTTGTATTCATTACTTTTTGCTTACTTTGGTCAGAAGTGTGTTGCTGTTACGGTCTCATCATTACTAGATAGCATAATATACAATGATTACCACTAGTAAATCGTTTGTGTTTGTTACAGTACAGAATTTACATGCTCACAACATGTTACAACATTGTCATCATTTAGCAAATGATGCACAGCATTCCATCGAGTCGAAGAAAATGTGTATATTTGGTTGCATATAGTAAACTACTACAATTTACTTCAACAAATTACGACTCGATAAGAATCTTTAACAAATATTGTCTTACCAACTAATTAAATGATTCAATAAATTCAATTAGGTGTTTAACAAAAACATTTGTAATAGAGAAACATTTTGTTAACAAAATTAGATGTTTATCTAAAAAGTACAATGCAAAAAATGCATTCGAACATTTTATTTCATTGGATTTATTGGTTTTCTTATAGAAAAACTTTCATTTATTCGTATATTTTATTTGTGGTTTCTCTATATTATTAGTTTGTTTTTAGTACTCTTGACTCGCAATTTAAATCTCCACGCATTACACGCATTGTTTAGTTATAGTACAAATTATTACAATTCCTGCGTTTAATAATGTACACAAAATCATTATAGATAACGATAACCGAGCGAATATCATATTAAATGTTTCAGCACCCATTTTGTTTTGTCGTCAGTTTCTCATATATAGTGTATCTTAATACTTGTCATAAGTAGGTACGTAGGTAAGTATTATAATGAAAAATATGTTTTGTTCCATGTTTTTTTTGCTTCTTTTGGTTGCTACAGTGGTTTTTATTAGTTTTTTTTTGGCGCTTTTATTTTTGTGTGATTTTTTTGTGTTTTTTCCATCATACAGGGCTAATACTTATACTTGATACCTTGTTGCTTATATACGTTAGACATAGTTTATTATTATTATTATTATTATTTTATATGAAGTTGAAGAATGTGTTTCGTTACACCCAGTTAGTTTAATATCGTCTGGCCCGATGAAGGAGCAAGAGGAAAGGCAAGCAAAACGAAACAAAAGCATCGCGCGTCTGTTTTTCCGGCTCGCGGGGTAAGAATGATGTATCATCTTAATAACGCCACACGTGAGAGCTTGGAGAGTCGAGGTCATCGCTAATATTTCTTCACGCTATATTAACTCGTATATTTTTTTATTAATTTTAAGACGACCCTGATATATTTCTACATTTTCAATCATTTTGCGTGCGCTATTGAAGTGGAAAACTTTTTTATTTTAAATTTGCATTCGACGCAAACTCAAATTAATATCGTCTTGAATTTCTTTTCATTTTCACATTACTGTTATTATGATTATAATAACACTCCACGTCCCGCGTTCTTTATTCTTTACTTGTTGCTCAACATCGAAGAAGTTTAAATTAAATTTTCTTTCAAAACTCACTCGCCGATTGAATTTTTACTTCTCGCGTGTACAATCAAAGCCAAAACATGAATTTAAAATTGTTCAACCTGCCTGCCTGCGTTATTCATCACCAGCGCACAATACCCGGCAGTCGATTATTTATGACACGCATATTGATGAATATGCCGACTGCGCTTTGTGTGTTGCGTTGTTGCCCGGCGCCTCCACCAGAATGATAAATGATAATTAATCTTTCATTAGCACACGCCGATAGTTACGGCTTGATCGATATAATTCAGGAAGACGTCGATGTGTGATGGAGGTGTGAGTGTGGCGGCGGAGAGACAGACGGGCAAATAATTGTGCACGGAATGTAGTTGTAAATCAAAGTGGTTCAAATACGCGCTACTATTGATATACAGGGTGTTCTCAACGTAAACCCACCGACTTAAAATTTAATAAGGTTCTCATTAATCCTAGATTTCAGCGCTTCTGTTTTTTTTTTTTTTTTTTTAATTTTTGATTATCAAGGATTAATGTGAGCGAAACGAACCTTGTTTAATTTGTTGGGCGGCGGTTTCGTGGAACACCTGGAATGATGTGATTATCCTTTGCTACAGGTTGCCGTTAACGTCTATTTAGCTTTAGAGTAATGTCTATGAAACTATGACTAGTTTTACTCGTTTCGCCTCGTGATGCGAGACAATAGGTGTGTGTGTGTGTGTGTGTTGTTGTTGTTGGTTGGCATCGCGTGTTGATTTCATTGGCTAAGTTTACGTACTAAGTTGCTAAGTTCCTTTCCTCCCTCTTTCTTCTATTTTTGCTTCCGTGCCTCTTTGGTCGAAGTTATGATACAAATACAACAAGTGGATGGCAGCGGTTCTACTCGCGCACAAACACAAATTCGTTATAGTGATTCCAGCGGTTCTCCTCGACGTCGACGCCGGGCTTCAGCTCGGTGGCACTTCCAGCTGTACCACTGCCAGCGCTACCCACCAGTTTGAATCCCTGCTCGAAGAGCATGTCGAACGCCTGCTCGAGGAACGAGTGCTTGAGGAAGAAGCGTGATGTGTAGCGTTCAGCTAGACCATGATCAGGATCACGGCTCTCGTTGAGTGTCTCGCCGAAGACGTCGCGCATCAATGAGACGCGCCCGCAGACGAGAATACGCGACAGTTTACGGAACTTGACGTCGGCGAGGCCGTCCTTCCCAAATTGAAAACTGCCACGATATCCGACAGTGATACAACCGGGTACACGACGTGAGTCTTCGGCGATGAGGTCCACCAGCCCCTGGAGGCGGTAACGCTCCGCTTCACGTCGTAATCTTTCACGCTCCCGGAAGCACTCAGGCAGTGCGAGTGTGCCATCGCGTAGGAAGTCCAACACGTAGCGGAAGAGCACGCCGTCGCGGTCCAGGAAGTGTCTACCTTTGGCATCCTTAGGTACGCCGTCTCCTCCAGGTGCGAACCACGCGTGTAGTTGTGAATTCGGTTGACTGGTGAGCGTCGCCAGGGAGGCCGCGTACGCCACGCCACCGACGTTTAATTCGACGACGCCGAGGCCGCCTGGTGTGGAGCCCGACATCTCGCGCGCTCGCCTGACTGGCCTACACTGACTGCCTGCTGCTGCCGCCGCCGCCGCCGCCGCCGAGTCTAGCGCCAGACGCGCGCGCGCATCTCTCCCTCTCCCGATATCAGCATCCGATTAATTACACTCTTTATCTTACGCTCACGACGACCGATACCGCGTGCAGCGGCGGGCGGCTGACACGCGTCGCGGCCACGCGAGATGCAGCGCATTCTTTGCCGCCCCCTCTTGGCCAGCACGTACGCACGCACGAGGAAGGCCGCACGGCCGACGCGCCAATTCACTACGGTCGCGGTTCGGGCGGATGGTGATCTTGACACAACGTGGAAAGCGGGAAAACGGGAAAGCGGGCTGTGTGATCAATACAACATCTCGCTGCTCCACAGCGCGCGCAGCTGCTTCCCAAAATGCACTATAAATAACCTGTAACGCATGCTACCGCACAGCGGCAAAGAGATTTTTGCGTAAATCTGACGATTGCAGTTGACGACGTCAAATATCTCACAAACCTTTAACATCATAACCTCACTCCAGGGCTATAAACACAAAAAAACACTTTTGGAAGTAATTTACAACGAAACACTTTAGCTGAAATTATCGCACAGTTTGAACTTAATTTTCTTTCATGAAGCCGCCGAGAGTTGAAGTTGTAATGACCATTTGGAATGAAAGCAAAGTCGTGGAGTAGAAAAACAGGTAGAGATCGTTTTTCCACGCGATTTCGCATCGTTTTATCAATCGCGCGCAGTTGGGAGCGCGAGTTGTTTACAAAAGTGCTCGAATATTAGCAACAGGTTCGGTGGTCTGGAGGTTTTCACGAAAAAACAAAGGTAATTTATGTTAGGAAGGAGAAAAAATATAAATGAAACATTACATTTAATTCAGCTTTTACAGTCAGAATAAGTTAAAACATAAAACATTTTATACTGGGTGTTAATAAACAAAATAATAGTATATTAAACATCAAGTGGCTAAATGAGAGTTTTAATCACGAGAGAGTTAAGAGCGAGCATAGTCAGCGTCTTGTCCTGTACCGTAGGCCACTGCGCAGGCGCAAACTCCACCCTGTGACTAAAACCCGTGACTAAAGTAAGGTTTTGTCTGTCCGTTATAAACTTTCACTTTTTGTGTATAAAAACCGTGAAAAATCTGGTTTTCAAAAGCGGAAGTCGAAAAAGCAAGTTTTTTTAAGAAATAGAACAATATTTTGTTTCAATTTAGCTAAAATTCAGTTTTTATAATTTTTTAATTAATATAAGACAATAAAATACAATTAAAAACTTACATTTATGTTCAAAAGCTTAAAATGACAGAAACTTGACTCAAAATTTGCAATTGCATTTGAAATAAGAAAAGACTGCTGCACAAAGTTGTAACATTCATTTGCCTCAAAGTTAATGCGAGACAATTCAATCCTTAATTAAAGCATGTTTTAAATCCACGCTGCCAAAGTAAAGCATCGCCAGCAGCAAGAAATTTCCGCCATTCTGCAATCTGCAATCTTTGCAATTTACTCACGACTCAGCGACGTTAAATTCGAGCTTTTAACGCCTTCGGCACCCCGAAAAAAAGTTAAAAAATAAGCAAAAGTTGCCGGAGTGAATATTTCATTAACACTAACAACGTATATTCAAGCATCAAGTATTTCAGAAGCAATGCTCAACATGCGGCAACAATTTGTTTGGGTCTGAAAAACTTCCTAGACTCCGTTGTGAATATTTCATAACTTTCCCTGCACGCCCCTACATGCCGTGTGAATAAATATCGGCATTATTACGTGTTTAGCTTGCGGCCAATTACCCATCGCGCCGAGTAATACGTCATTGTTGCTACTGGCGTTACAAGAATTGTGCATTATGCATTTTAACCAGCCGCGACAGCAAATGAAAGGGTTTCATTTTGTAAGCGGAAACAGTTTCTATATTTAATTCCGATCGATCGAGCGCGGCGAGTTTCAAATGATTCAAACGATACAGAATATGCAACAAACAGTTGTTTTCTGCAAGGTTTAATTCATCACAGTAGCGCGGATAAAAATAAAGCGCACACATGAGTCGACTTCAATAAAATTCGATTTCATACGGTTCAAATCTACTCGGTGGGAAATTGGATGAAGCGCAGTTTTGCATTTATTAAGCGGAAAACCAGTTTACAGGACCGTATTATAACCCACTATTATATAATAAAAAAATTACAATTAATGCTTTAATAATTAAATCATTAATTTTAATTTTTTTTAAAAAAAATTTTCTTAATTTTTAAAATGTTTTTTGAGCCGGTCCTGTGTCGATTGGATCCAATATCGCATCATTAGTGGACTTTCAGTTTAAAAGCTCTGAAATGCGTAAAAGGACAATTTTGTGAAGTTCGCAGTGAATATTGGAAAATTCGGAATGAAATAAGCCGAGTTCATTCGTCATGATCAGAATTTTCAGCGAATTCGTCATGCTCAAAGAAAAGTGCAGAGAGGGTGCGGAAGATACATGCGAAAAGTGGTGACTAGCGAATGCCCATAATTGCAATGGTACGCTTCGTTGCGCGGACGAATCGAAAGATCTGGAAATAAAGCGATTCGCGGAAATCTCGTTAAGTGCTCGGGGAGTGATACAATATCAACGGGTAGTATACGAAATTGCACATTCTACCGCTTCCAGCAAAGTGGATTTGGAAATTGCAATTTTTCGACGGTGTAAACACATTTAAAAGCATTCGCTTCATAACTCAGGCGTAAAATATTATTTTAATGCCTAGTGCAATGAAATATTTCTATATTTTATAGATTTACGAGTATTTACTTACAAATTGTTGAAAATCGCGTTCAGGGTAGAAGAATAAGTCTGCACGTCTTCGAGCTGGGAAACTCATAACGCACGTGCGCTTGCAATAACGAAATAACAAATACAAATGCCGTCAATTTGTAACGCTAACACCATTTACGAATAAAACATAAAACAAAACGTTTCGCTCCATGTCTTTTATGATTTTTTTCTCTGTTTTTCTTTATTCTTGTTGTGCTAGGCAACACACCGTGCATCACGCAAGATGTTTGCGTTTGCGCATAACCTGAGTGTGAAAACAAAGATAAATTGAACGTAAACACCGAAGAAGAATACCTTTTAATTTGTTATTCTTGGAACGTAAAATAAAAACGCAACAACGGAGAATGGAGAGTTAATAAACCAATTTGCAGCGTTTTACGATATCAAATAGCTGCGCAAACACGCAAACAAAACCTCGTCTCGAATACGGCCGAGAAATGTTTCCTGTTCATTTAGTTCGTTTGTTTTGCGTTCAAGCAACGACGCACGATATTTTTCTATCATTTATTATTTTATGTTTTATTCTAGAAACGCATTTTAGTATAAAATAGATATTAAATGTAAAATTTGAATATTTTTTGTGATGCGCATGCGCGGCAGAAAACAAAACTGACATTTGACAGAGTGAATGTGTGAATCGTGCACGTCGTGCGTTTTTGCGTCGGTTGCAGGTTATAAACGTTTTGTTGCTGTTAATCAGTGCGAATGTAAGTAAAACAAAGTTATATTCAATGAATAAACAATTTTACGCTTAAAAATGTGTTAAGTATAATACTGGAACACAAAAAAACGAACATTAGTTCTATATATTAGTTCCTTGCGTTTTACGCATGCGCATCTTGAAGTTGTATTCAAATTCCAAAACTCGCCGATGAAGAAACCATATGCAACTTTGCATGCACAAATATTGACGGCAAATATTATGTCAAAATTAAAGCACTGTAAACCAATTGGTGTGTATACCTTGACCGGCTGGCGTCCGATATAAGCTGCAAATTTCCGCTTCCGGCTTTGTTTGCGAACCCAAAGCGCACTCTATATTATTAAGTGGTCGTTCCGGGCATTGTAGCTGCACGTATGCGGGCGCAATTAATTAAACATATGTTTAATGCACCCGGGCGCACCACCACGGAACGGCGTCCATCCCAAAACGCGAAATCAATGCAGCGCCGAAATTGCGCGCTATTAATAGAAACATGTGCGGCTAACGTGCAAACCCATTTTCATGCGATTGCACACGATTGCAATTTTATCGCTTCACGCACACATGCGTGCCAAAACAATTTCGATGTGCAATGATTAGTTTTACTGGTTTCAAATTGATGCGAGTTGTTATACTTGATTTTTTTAGTTGTTTACTGTCGAAATCAACTCACTACAGTATTTTCAGATTTTTCAAACGAGTTTAAACATAAACATTGGGAAATAACGAGTTTTGGTTTTAATTGAATTTTTGTTTTAATGGTCGTTTAGTATAAAAATAGATTGTTTACCGCGAATTGTAAAAAGTGCTTCAATCAACAAGTTTAAGCATAACATTAACTATTTTTTCGTTTACTTAAAAATACTCTTGATGCATTTATCGGAAAAACTTAGATTTCGGACATCATTTTAGGTTTTTTTTAAATTCTTTTCATGTTGAATGATAAATGATGACATGTCCAACAGGAATGCGATGTAATATCCTCGCCGGTTGACTTTTTAATAAAATTTTATTCATTTAAAAGTTATTCTTCGCCGGGCGACGTCCGCCGGGAGGAAATTCTTAGAAAATACGCCGTCGGACGCTTGAGAAATAAATATAAATTGAACTCTTGCGATACAAACATGCCATGAGTGCACGTGTACCCAACAATAGAAAAGAATTGAGTTCATGAATTTGATACGAAACTGCAGCATAAAAATTTCTTCTTTTTTTTTATTAAAGCAGAATAATGATCATAATCATGATCAAAAGTTAAAGTTTAATAATGCAGTATTGTAATAACTTGGCCCCCTTGGGGGTGGTTGTGACGGTGATGTTGATGTTGACACTTCGGGGCGTTTGCAAACTAAATCTGTTGTGCATAACATTTGCCCAGCGCGCAGCCAGTTAAGTCGCGCCCCAACATCGACGAATATAATTAATGGATGGCGGGCGCCGGTTCTCACACCACGCCAGTTCTATCGATCCGATTCATTCAATTAAAACACTATGATTACCAACAACCAGCTGCCGCCTCCAGATTTTCTCGTCACTAGTTTCTGTTTAACTCATTAATGCTCCCGCTAACTTTATTACGATTTTAATATAGTTGCATACATGCTAGGCAACCAAGTATACACTAAATTTAATTTAAGGTTAAAGTTAATCAAAAGTTCGATTTTATTTTATTCTCGGCTCGTAAATATGCATGTAATATAGCTGAAGAGTTTCGAATGACTTTGGTGACTTTATGTCGGCGATAATCTGCGCTCGTCAACGTCGAAATCCGAACCTTTTGTCTTACGATCGCGGCAATCTCTGGATGGAGTAATGCGTCACCATAAATCCGACGGTTTCATCTCCGGCCATCCGCAAACCATGTTCGGTCGTATTAGAGACGCTGTAATGGCTCAATAAGATTTACTTCTGATATTATAGGCGTAATTAGTCGTTAACCCGAACAAAGTGTATGTTATAAGAGCCGCTTATTTATTACAAAAGTTATTACATTGTCATCGTGTATCATCAATGAAATAAAACAAGAACAAGGGCAGTAAGTGCATATAAAACTAATTTGGATAACCTACAATATATTTTTAGCTAGGCTTCCCACGATGCAGTTAATCAAGTTGCAGTCGTCAATAAATTCGATTCTCTTCGATTTTTACGCGTAAATTAAATTAAGTTGACGTTTTTTCACGTTTTTTCTTTTGTTCGTACATGGCGAGGTCATGTAAACGTATTCGTTTCAATTTTCCATTCGACGGGACGAACTAAAGGGATGATAAAGGAACGGAAACAGTCCACAATCGTGTCGAATATCATTGAATATAGTAGCGCATAAATTTGCGTCTCGCCTGCGAGGAATGTAAAAATGTTTGGCCGTCTGCCATGCGCATAAAACGAACAAAACATTGAAAATTTATCCAGATATCCAACATTCAGCGCTCACGGTCGTCGTTGTCGCACAATGTCGCGCGAAGGAAACATCGGAGGATTCGGCCGCCAACGAAAAGATCAGTTTAAGGGTGTGTATAGCGAACAAGTTGGGATGGCTGGATTATGCTGCGGAGGACAAGAGAGTTCTAATCAGTTACGATGGCGCGACTTGAGTGCGCCGAGAGGGGTTGAAGGTCGCAAAAAGGGGAGATCTTTATCAATTCGTAAATTTTTTTCATGTCGACCTTTCACGAGACGCAAAGTGTCCTAAAACAAGTTCGTGTTTTTTTTCTCTGCGTGAATTGTCGAAGAATAAATTAAACCTCATGGGCGCGAAAACAAAAAAATACCTACGACTCGCACCAATTAAAAGTTTTAATTAAAACTTTAATAATAAATCACGCAATGGTAGAAATTGGAGTTGCACAGCACTTTAATTTACGTTTTCCGCGTTGAGTATGCAAAAAATAATGCTTTATTGTCTAGAAAAGTTAATTAACTTTGAAAAATTCATCTGTTTTAATATAGGCAACTTTAATTCTCTTTCACACTTAATATAGGCAACTTAAATCACTGCTTTTGTAGTTTTTAATATTTGATTTTTGTTTGTTTTCGTGTTGTTATAGTGTGGAAAGCGTTTGCTGCCCAGTCATGCGTGGGTAGGAGGCTCATTGGTTCGCGAATTGGGCAATTTGCGAGCTCAATTTGGCGGCTAATTTTCGCCCGCCCGCGCGTTACTCACGCACGGCAGCGGCGACGACGCAAACTAACCAACTAACCACAGAAACCTGGCGGTGGCGTCATCCGATCTCGTCACATCTCATTACATGCGGCATCAAATGTGCGCGTAGCCAAGCCGAGAAGATCAAACAAGCCAAACGTCAAAATGGTAAGTAGATAACACCACTATTACTGCGAAATAGTCATTACAGTTTAGTTGTAGTTTAGTTTTCCGTTCGCTAACGATAGATAATTAACGTTTGTTTGCTGACATGTCTGTCAACATTGCCGTCATTCTGGTGTTGTTCTATTGTTATCCTGTGGCTGGCCGCTGGTCGAATATTTGCTCTTTTGTTACGAATCCGGAGCGAATTCACGGCAATACATTCCGCACATGCAAGTTTACAGAATGAATTCCAATCATTGATGATGTGCATTACTCAATTTGCATTCTTTAATTACAGATACAGATGAAACATTGTTAAACTGGTTGCATACGTTTGTGTTTGAACATGTGTAGAGGTAAAACAATCGCAATAACCATTTGGAATGTATTTCACTCCAGCCTACACACACATTTATCAGTTATATTCCACCCACGCTTGACGACCGAAATTATTTGCGCTTTGTCTTATGTTTGTCCTGCGCTCAACTCGAGACGATAATGAACCACGGAACCAACAACCAGGCTTTAGGATAAACTACCCCCTCTATCGGGGCACACAACCCGCCCTCGCGTATGTCAACACTGTCTTAGAAACTCCGAAAACTATTTTCGAAGCAATAAGCAAAGTTCTGAGAGTGCCATAATACACACAACACTCAACACACATGTTGTCAAACTTTAACCCTTAATAACTGCGTTGATGGTGGTTCCAGTTACGCATACACACACGAAACAAGAAAAAACAATAAAAGGCCTAACATTAGAGTTTAGCCGAGGAGACTGTGTGGTTTTCGTTTTCGTTGTTTGGTCTGACGCTGATCCTATGCAAGCATGTCAGAAACTCAACCTCCCTCAAGTAAATTTCCGACTATCAATCAAACTCGAATGCATGCAACACACAGCACACGCGGCGGTCTAGTACTTGTACAACACGTTGAGGTACACGAGTGATGCTTAATTCATGTAATTTAAACTCTGTGCATACCGCGTAATTGATAAAGTTATAAACTTCCTCTTTGATGTAGATAACTTATTGTGCTCACCGATAATTTGAAAATTACTCGACTCGTTTGCCTTCATTTGAAAAAAGCATAACAATTCAATATAATTGCAAATTTGCTTAACAATCGAAATTAATAGGATTAAATATAATCCTAAATAAACATTATTATAATTTGTAGTAACAAACATTTCCACGCGCGCCTAATACGTAATTGTGTTCAAATATTGATTTGTTCGATTGTGAGCGTCGACAATGGTGCTAATTATCACATGCAGGGGTGGTATGTGTGTGTATTAATCATAATTCAGCTACAATTCAACTCGTCGACGCGACGGCGCAGTCAAGTAGCAAACGGATATGACAACTCGAATTACGCCAATAACAGGCGCGATCAATGCGCGCGCATTAACAAATGAACAAACGCACGTTAAGCCAGTTGTTAGGAGATAGATTAGAGTGAAAATGTACTCGGGAAGATCGTGTGACGCTGGAAGTTTGCAAACTTCTGAAGCGGAGTGTGTCACAGTGTCGCGAAAACACAATGTTCGTTCGTTTTAATTAAAAAGCTTTTAGCAGGTTGCACTTCGGGAGTGTTCGCTTCTTATCAGGCGATTCTCATGCATATAAATTACAATTTCGATCTTTCTGTTTCACTCGCTGTGAGCGAGATGTTGAATTGTAGTTTGGAGAGTCCTTTGTTCAAGTGAGTGAGTAAATTAAACTCATTTGTTCGCGATTTTCACCTATTTTCAACCCACAAAGTTGTGAAACGCTTTAATACGGATTATACTGCATGTTTTTATCTCCAATTTTTTTTAAATATCTTTGAATAAGTTATTTTTAACTAGAAAATTTGTTTATTGAGGTTTTTAAATGTCAATTTTGTTTAAAGTTTAACAGCGACCTCTTCAGGGACTCTTTGGCACTCTCAGTCGATGGTCATTAAAGTTTTGTCACGCCGGCAACCTAAAACCTCTCTTCACCTCACACCACGCCACTCGTGTTCAATCTCAACCAAAGAAGAACCAACTAAAATCCCACGTGGACTTTGCAGGCCGTTTTTCCCGGGAAACTTTTCGGTCACCAGCCGCAACATCGAAAAACTCGAGTGAACTGGAAAGTACTTAAAATCACTTTTTGTTCCGTCCAGGTATGTGTGGGCAGACGACATTCAAGCGAAAGAAGATGCGCCAACTCGAAAGGTAAAGTTTGTCCGAGTTAGTTTCGAATGTGATTAGAGAAATGTACGACAGGGCGAGAGTGCAGCATCCGACAAGGTAACTGCTTTTGAAACAGTCCTTCCGTGTCGCTGGAGTTGTGTTAACCACGTTAGCATTGATACCGAACGACATGGTAACACAATCGGAGGGACAAAAGGTAACAATGGGTACGTTTTCAACTACAAATGTTTGACCCTAGGCGCCGTGTTGGAGTTGCAAACTAACACGCTGTGAGAGGTAACAATAGGCACTACCTATGAGTTCATCGCCAGTTGTCGTCATCATTGACATTGTGAACTTTTGAACCTTTGTAAGTATGACCTTTGTATTTGTAAGTCATGTAAATATTTTTTTTTCACTGCTTTGTTGTCACTTATGAATGAAGTTTAATCAACATGTGTGGTAAAAAAGCCAGAGATAAAGCACTTTGTTAAAGCTGCACGTTCGTGTGCGCGGCGGGCGTGCACGCTCCTTGAATACGAAATTTTTCCCTGCCTGGAGACCTGTTTTTGGGATGAGTACGGTTGGCGCAGTTACAGTAGCAGCTGAAAGAGGCGAGAACCGCATTAACACCGAGAGATCGTTTGCTCGATTAATAAAGCATTCAAGCGAGACAGAAACAGCGAGAAACCACGAGGATCTCCGCGTACGTCCTGCTAATTGGACGGGGCTCAGTCGAGCGCGAGAAGGATCCGGGACTTGACTGGAGCTCACATGAGCCAGGCCCGCGTGCACGCATCGTACGTGCGAAAAGCTAAAACCTAATTAAAGAACTAACTTTAACTTTGGCTTAACAAAGCGTCTCTGTTATATATTTAGGACGACGAAAAGTATATTTGTTACACTGTCAGCATAAACATCACCTCATCAAAAATGCTTTGTAGTATTATGCATTAATCCATATTTTACTTAGTTTGCAATTATCAAGTGCACCAGATGCGCTGTTTCATTAAGTGGTACAAGGGCAGATGCACCACCATCAATGGTGCTTCTGTTGGCAGACTCAAGTGTGCATGCTGCAAGCAGTGTGGACAGATTGGGACGTTTTGAGATCGGCAATTTATACATTTACCACTATTCCCGGATGAAGCCCTTGTCAATGAAGATGTAGATGTAGATGTGTTTAATTGAATTGTGACAATGGAAACCAACTCTAGATGTAATTTACTCAGCACTAGTTTAACTTCATCAACGTCTGTAAGTAAAATAAGGTAAAAATTTGATATTTTACAGGAGAAGAAGAAAAAAATTGAAAATTTTGTTGGTTAAGATATTAACAACTTAGTTAATAACTTTACCTAAGAGGTGAAAGAGTGATCTTGGAAAATACTTTCGTGAATACTACCTACTTTGTATATTTAAACATTTTGTTCATTAGAAATTTACGTCGTTTGTCCTTGCATGAAAGCCGCTTTGCTTCAGCACTAAGACCAAAACGGACCATAATAAATGTCACGCGGTCTAAGCCGGAAAGAGGATTTTGTCGACGCAAAACGGAGCACGGGGTCTTGAGACAGGTCAACACGCAAACCAACAACTCGCTTACCGCGGGGTTTGTATAAAAATTTAATTTACAAATTAAAAAAGGCCTCGTAAATCATTGTTAATAGTTTAATTTAATAAGCTTTACAAATTCACAGAGTGAATAAATATCGTCGGAAAGCTTGACAAAAACAAACTTTAATTCTTTCGGAAACGGAAGCAGCTTAGGAGCGGAAATGTCTTTTTCCGCTTTCACCGGTGTCGTCGTGGATGGTACCAACGAAAAAAAGCAGAGTTCTCCGAGTTTAATCCGTCATCTTGCGACAAAGTACCAAGAAGCAAATACACACTTCCCAAATGAAATATTGCACCCGCAAGTAAAATATTACACGATTAATTTTCAGTGTAGTTAAACAAAACTCGTAAAACCAAGGAACAAAAAGCGCTAAGTAGAAAACTTGTTCTAAGACAGTTTCGATTACATCAAATATTGAAATAACCTGCCTATAAGGTGAGTATAGCAGGCGAAAGTGTAATGTAACGATAACGCGTTTTAGTTTTATGATACTCTGTCGATGTGCAGGTATAAAATATGAAAATCGTTGTGTTCATATTCACTATATTCAACCAGGTCGTAAAATTCTTTCGAGGCCAATATGATGCTTGTGAGGTATGGTACAAGAAAAAAATTGATTAAATTCCGATGATATTGCATATTTTACATCGTTTTTCTTTAGTTTTCGGAGCGTAATACTTCGCTAGCCAAGAGGTTGTTTATTGCGTTCTTTGCAATTTATAAAAATTGCTTACTACAGCTTTAAGTATAAGTTTCAGCATAAAAATACTTTGGGAGAAGCATTAACAAAGGTTTAATTTAAAATTATATATAATGACTAATCAACTATCGATAAAAGAAAAGAAAATTTAATTTTTTCGGCTTTTGCGACTTTTTCCACGGTTTTGTGACACAAAAAGGGGTACTTTAAATACGGACGGCTAAAACCGTGACTTAAAGTACTTTAGTCACGGGTTTTAGTCACGTGGTGGATAAAAACTCCACTTTAGTCACTTGATACTTAATATACTATTTTTACATTCAACGAATTACGTTTTTACGTAAAATCTTCTATAAAATAGTTTCGTTTCGTTAAATTCAAAAGCTGCCGAAATGCCTTTCGAGATTAGTTGAGTAAATGCAATGGAAAAAATAAAACGAAAATCTTTTTCAACGTTTCATCGAAATAAAATACACGCAACCCACGTACCCGAAAGTGGATGGAATTCTAAAAGCAACGAACGTTGTGGGCTGATGCGTATTGAGAAGCATCGGGAGGAAAATGGAGTGAAAGCTTGGCCCGACGGAAAGGAGCTTCGAAAAGACACGAAATTGTCCAAAATAAACGTGTTCCCGGCTCGTGTATTCATCCACGTCGTTTTCGGGATAAACAAAGAGTTGTAAGGGCGGTCAAGGGCATTAAAAAGACCGAATTCGATAATGCCATAATGACCACCATACGTTTTCCGGGAGAGTGTACTAATAAAAATGTCAATAACAATTTCTATACGGATTTAGAATTCAGTAAAGTTCGCATAGAATAATCCCGGGGATAAAAAATATCAAATTCTATTCGTACGCGTAGATAACTAAATGAAAGTTAGGTGATTCGGGTATTCCGGTATCACGCAAGTGGTAAATGGGCCGTTAAGTAGATTATCAATTTGTTTCCAACACGTCTGCGTTGGTAAACCGGCTGCTCTTCGTTGCAAAATTTCCGAATATTCACACACCCGAAAGGGAAACCCAGATATCATATCGCGCGTGTTTCCGCCACCGTCCTAATCATGTAATCGTGCATTAATCGTGCCTCATCACTATCATTACCTCTATTATACGTTTTATCAACTTAAACTGTTTAGATAAGATAATTTCGTAAATTAAATTTTCATTTGGATAGAAATTTCTAAACACTGATGAATCACGTTAATCAACGGGCGAGCGAGGCGCCGATTCGGTGAAAACTGTTAATTAATCAATATGCAAATTCAAGCGTATTGCGACGCTGATTGGCAGTGTGAGTTTAATTAAAGTCGGAATGCGTATACATCAAAGCGCATTCTGTTAATATTATCGCAAATTACCAAATAGTTGATATTAGTTAATTAAACCAAAATCAATAGAAATTAATTACGAGTTATTATTGAATCAATTCAATTTTATATTTAATGAATATTCCGGGTGAATGTTATTTATTTGCGTTTATGACGCACGTACAGGTACCAGCTGTGGTGGAGGCGCCGGTCAAAGGGCTAATAGGACGTCACGCTCGCCGCGCTAATTAAGCCTCGAACCTCGGCTCGCAATGGCCTTACCTCGCTCGTTACGCCGCGTTTGTTTCTCGAACGCCGACGGCGTATATAACTACTTTATGGCCGACGGGCTGGCTGATCACAAAGGGCTTATCTCATGCGCGCCATGATGGCACCACGGCTAATGTTGCAATCAACGCAATAGAGTTTCATCACGTTCCGGCGTATCGAACATGGCAAACAAATGAACACGAAATGAAATTCGATTTAACTTTTTGACTCACCTACCGTCGTCGTCGGCATCGTAATACTTTGGTAACTTTGTTTGCTTACTTTGAGTTTTGTTTGTTTTGCGCCACTTTGGACACCTTTCACTTTTCGTTGATTTTTATATATAAGTTATTTAACTTGTTGAGTATAATAATACATTGTCATGTCGGCAGGTTGACGTTGACTTTTCATTTCCTGCCGCATGCGTTGTTCTCCCTGCGGACGCAAACTGCGTAAGTTTTTTTTCTTCCTCAGCGTTTGTGCTGTCATACATAAATGTATGGGAAAGCGTTTCGTGTTGCGTCCAGAGAATAAAAAGACCATGAAATGTGAAAATCAACGATTTGACATGAAAAAAATGTCAAAATTTTATGCTAGGCAACCAGTTATACATTTTGACATGACATACGTTTACAAGTTTAGAACAATGGATGAAATATTCGCACATCCGTTCGAAACACTAAAAGTGTAACAAATCATTTGCCGGCCATCGACACAAGGGTTGTATTTTTTATGATGTCCGATAGTGCTACCCACTGCTAACCATATTTGATTTTATAAAGATTGATTGTTTCCCCAGGCAGCTGGGTGGGTAATCGATCCGATGTGTTTGATGACTGATGCGTGGTTGAATGATAGATAGAATAGCAGGTGATAACATACCAAGTGATGCAATAAATTTTAAAATTTTTTATTTTCGGTTGTCTTGTAGAATAAAACGTTAAGTTGGTTGTTTTGCGTTGTCCAAACGTGAAAAATGCTTGTTTACAAACCGCAGCCAAAGCGGGCCATCGGAATTGTTTGCACGCCGTGAATGTTTTATACACGGCTGGAGGCCATGCCAGCGTCAAAAGCAAACCGCTCCGTCGACTCGTCAAAACTGCGGCGGCGGCGGCGTCGAGTGAGTTGTCGCGTTGATGGCCGGTCGTTTCGCGGCGCACGTGTGTTCAGCGTTCGAGAGGCGAACAATAGACTTCGAAAAGGTAGTGGCTTGTGCCAGCCGTGCGGAAAAACGTCGGTGAACGAAATGTAAAATGCGCTTTTTACGCTTTCAGGCGGCAAAAAAAGCGGCTGTCGTTTTGACCGGAAACCAAACAACCAACAACGATAGTTTCCATACAAAAAATATGGAAACGAAGTTGACGGTTGCTGTCGGCCATTTTGAACGCAAAACAAACTACTTGATCAAATGCATTCATTATTTGGCGTTCCATTCGGCACAAGTTTTACATTTGAGTGAAATGCCTGATGAAAGTGGGCGAAAATTGCGGCGCAGTATTGCGGGTGCTTTAAAGCTACCCCCACCCCTTTTAGCCGTCGAAGGCACATTCTTTTAACTATACCGGTACGCTCTATTTGCATTTTTAAAACGCTCAATTGGAATTCACAAAGAACGCGCGTCGACGAAAAAGTCGAGCGATGAGGGAAGGAAATGGAAATTGAGCTCGGGCGCACAAAAAGCGTACGAAACAAAGCGCGTACAGAATTTGTGAAATTGAATTGCATCGCGCGTTTTTACACCGCACGCATTGAATTAAACTCATTTCTTAAGATTTTTTGAAAATGTTAAAAATCATTTTTTTATTCCTTGATTCACATTTTTAAAGTTAACAATGGACATTTCGGGTTTTCGGTATTTGCATGCCATGGCGATTCGTTATGTCAAAGTTGAATAAGTTGAATATTTCGCCAACGAAGGTTCGCCGGGTGCGCTTTGTTCGCGCCGACTGAAATATGCCATTATCTTGCACTGGTTGCCCGCTGAGAGGAGCGCAAGGTACACACACAGCATCCCTACCCCATCCTCTCACCATTCAGCTTGCGCTTTGTGATCAGATCCGGGTTTTCAAGTGTATTTTTAAAAAAGAGTTGAAATTTTTCCGGATTAAGAGACGCCTCTGAAGTGTGCTCGCGGTGGATCGGTATCAAAATTCGGCCAAGTGTCGAAAACGAAGACCACGACAGGCGGAAAACCGAGCGGCGCGCACAATTTATGCTCATGCGAAATACGAATATCGGAAGCCTTTGTATGCGCCAATTCTATGACTATGTGGAGCCCCCCGGGGTGGCAGTGCAAGTGCACGGCGGTTTGGAAACACGCCGTTTGCATCTGACGGCTGAACTATCGAATCAGAAAGAAAAAAATAGAAAATTTTTGCGCTCGGCAAACATGCTGGTATCCTGAATCTATATAGCATTGTGGAATACGAATCCGAGAGTCTGATAGTCACCGAGGCGGAGTTAGTGGCGTGCCGCTCGCGTACAGAGACGAATAGAAGACGATAAGGAATTCATTATTCCGTCGCTTTTCTTAAGTTCTTTTCCTTCAGCAGAGCTTTCTGTATGACGGCTAAAACCTTCTATTGAATAAAAATGCTACGCGTTTATATCTGTACGTAATGACAGAGGCACACATTCAGATAATGCGATGTTCTTTCGGGATTTAATAGGATAGGTGCACTTGAATTGTGAATTTGTGATTTTTAAGGAATTGACCTGTTAAAATCGAAATTGAAGTAAAAATTTCATAGTTGCCAAAAAATGTGGAACGCTTCACGATTTTGCGTGTCATCCTTGCGCAGGGGCCATGCTAATCTTCTCTGTATCGTTCCAATTTTAGTATATGTACCGCCGAAGCGAGTACGACAGCAAACGGACAAAATAGGGTTTATATACCTTACTAACGTAAGAGGCACAATTAGAAGTTGTAAGTTTGTGTCAATATATCTTTATATGCAATCTTATTTTTGCAAAACTACTCTGCAATCTTACACCAAATATAAGCATTAAAGCATTACTTGTATTGTAATACTATTTTATTATTCACTAATGCAGTAAAAATTAAAAGTAAATTATCATTGGACTAAATGCAACGAGTCGTGTAGCGCCACCTAACGGTTATTTTATACACTACTCCAAGTTACCTAACGGTTAGAAACCGTCAGTAGACGCAATAAAATTTAAAATAAATAATCACGGTATACCAAAATAATTAAAAAATATTTTATTTTGGTAAAATTTCTTAAATTGATGTATTGCGCCATCTATCTATACAGTTTTCAATTAAGAAATACTTAAACTAATTTAGTGACACGAAATTTTTGTTGACTTAATAAACTAATGAAAATAAAGTCTGTGGCCATTGTGAAAATTGTTGAAAGAGGATGTGACCGCGTCGTGCAAAAAGTTTTACGACAGTTCTCGACGCTCATGGCCTGTACTCCACTGTAGCAGGACAAAAAGCAGCGACTATGTCGCGCAATAAAGACCATTTTCCGCACCGCCGAAGCACCGTTCACTGTAAACGTGGATAAAACCAAGCAGAAGCGACACTACGCGAGTTAGCACTATGCATAATGACACTAGGACACTCAACTGTCAGTCAATGAAGGATATAACAACTACTTTTTACTGCGTTATTAAACTCTATTAAACTGGAATAAAGTGAAAGGTAAATCAATATTTTCTCCATGCATTATCTTCGCATTGACAGGCGTGCAAGTTGATGTGAGTATATATCGGGTTGAAATTGCACATTCCGACAGCATTCGTTCACATAATATTAGTTTGCCTCGCCTTTCATCCGGCCCTCGCCTCGGGAAGCACGAAGTGCGTCGAAAGGATTAAGCACTAGACGTGGGGCACCCCACTGAAAATTTAATGATTTATTCGACGTGACAAATATTTGACGCGCGTGTGCATCGACATTGGGTTTGCCACGCGAAGAACAAAAGGACCGGAAACTATGCGCTCGACATTTCGAATTCCTCACTTGTACGTGACGTACATGTTTGCTTTTATTGCGCGAGCACACGAGTCTCTCCATTTTGCGCCGATCGTGCGAATTCTGCGAAACGCGGAAATACGGAAGTCGTGCGGTTGGTAACTTTAGCGCAATTTCATGCTATGCATACTCATTCCAGTTGGTTGTAAACTTTGAGCGCAAACAACGTGATGCGGTTTTCTAGGAATATTGATGAGTTTGACAGCATTATTAAGTAAATGCCATTTTATAAATATTAAATCCTAACGTGCTATGTTCTGACATATTGAGTAACTAATTAAAATCTTCATTTTACTGAAGATTTATTGAAAAACATTTGATGTATAGAGCAGATTGTGTTACAGCGAAAGCTTATATACCACTTATTAGTATGATTGAAGTGCTGTTGATACGGTTAGTGATAATATTGTGTTTCATCGTGATTTATTGTTTCGTAGTGAATTTGAGACGGTTTATAACCGTGAAAGATAGGGCTTCACGCGATACCGAGACTTTTCTCGTATCGTCTCGGTATCGTCTCGCTTTTCCGAGACGAGACCGAGACGAGACGTGTTTCAACAATTTCTCGGCGATACCGATACCACAGTCCGAGTCTCGTTTTTGGTCTCGTTATTGGCCTCGTTAAATTTTTTTTATGTAGTTGTTATTAGAAAAATGAGAAAAGATCCAATAGATGAAATCCAATATATGACTATCTGTGAAATATTTCTTTTGTATATTCAAAAGAACAAGTCAGTAACCGAATATCATGACCTTTTTGACTTTTTGAAAGTTTTATGAAAATGTTGTCTTTGTTTACACATCCGGAGACATATTTTTGTGTTTTTCTGTACTTCTTGAAGCAAATATATTGTATACATCTGGGTAAGTTAGGAATTATAGACGTGCGTCGCTTACTTTCAAAACAAATCAACTCGATTATTGTACCCTAGTATACATTAGCGTTTAAACATTTGAAAAATTAAAAAATATATTTTTAATTAAAAGTGATGCAATCAAAAATTAATATTTTAAACTATATATGTATTTTGGATTTAGTTTACAATAAAAGCAATTAGCAATTAAATGACTAAACTTTTGAACTGCAAAGATCTAAAACTGAGTTCTACTTAAGGCTTCACACAATACCGAGACTTTTCTCGTAAGGTCTCGGTCTCGTATCGCTTTTTCGAGACGATACTGAGACCGAGACGATACCTTTGATAATCTCGTCTAGTCTCGTCTCGTGTGAAGCCCTAGTGAAAGATGTCTTGGAATAGTGTATGAAGTGTTCGTTAGGTGGCGCTACACGACACGTTGCATTTAGTCCAATGATAATTTACTTTTAATTTTTATTTTATTAGTGAACCATAAAATACTATTGCAATAGAAGAAATGTTTTAATGCTTATGTTTGGCGTGACATTGTAAGCTAATTTTACGAAAGTATGAGTATGAATCAATATATACGAGTACAAACATTAGTCTTCTAATTGTACTAGGTGCCACTTCAAGGTATATAAGACCTGCTCTGTCCAATGGCTGTCGTACTCGCTTCGGCGGTACATATACTAAAATTGGAACGATACAGAGAAGATTAGCATGGCCCCTGCGCAAGGATGACACGCAAAATCGTGAAGCGTTCCACATTTTTTGTCATTATGCAATTCAAGCAATCGAGAAAATAATTGATGTATCGAAGAGATTGCTTTATTGTAGAAGTATGAATACCTGTTTTTAGCAAGACTGAAGTGCGGTTGCCATTGTTAATTATAAAATGCATTTTACCTTAATTTATTGTCTTTAATTATACTTTTAACGGTTTATAACTGTTAAAGGTACAGTGTAATAGTTTATAAAACAACCGTTAGGTGGCGCTACACTACACGTTGCATTTAGTCCAATGATAATTTACTTTTAATATTTACTGCATTAGTGAATAATATAATAGAATTACTATAGCAGACATGTTTTAATACTTATATTTGGCGTAAAATTACAGAGTAGTTTTGCAAAAATTAGAGTGCAAATAAAGAAATATTGACACAAACTTAGAATTTCTAATTGTGTTCCTGTCCAACAGCTACCGTACTCGCTTCGGCGGTACATATACTAAAATTGGAACGATACAGAGAAGATTAGCATGGCCCCTGCGCAAGGATGACACGCAAAATCGTGAAGCGTTCCACATTTTTTCTGTTATTTACAAAAACTCACTAACAAAAATAATTCTTTATATTCCGTAAATAACTCAATTCGGTTCCTGATTATTGTTGGCTAAAGAAATTGGCATTTTATTGAAGGCGTTTGTGGTTTGCTTAGTTCCCTTTTTACAGCATTTATTCGGCTGCTTTTATTAGCTGGCATTTCACTGCGAGTTGCTCCTGATTGAATTTCTGGACACGGAAGGTCGCGCAGTATCCGAGAGCAATTCAAAGTCAGTGGTACAGACAGATCGAATGCGAGCAAGACTGGCCACAGTCAGCCTCAGCGCAAAGTTGAAACGAAAGAGGCCAGATTAGAAATGATTCCTGCGTGCGGCCATATCAAATCAATGTTTACTGCAGTTGGGCATCACACGTCGCCGTCGACGAGCACTGCATGAGTACGAAAGAGGAACCGGGATTACGCAGTCTAGTTGGCTGGGTTGCCTGGGAGATACTGGCGGGAGTGGGAACGAAAGGAAGTGACAGGAGTGGAGAGTAGCAGCAAAGGCAGCTCTAGCTAGCAATCGATGACTCCTCAGACCCTTTTCGACAAAGGCGACGGTTCATAACTATCACTAAAGACCGATTATTTTTTACATTTTTATTAGAAAAGTATTCTAATAGATGCAGTTATAAAATATATAATATATATATCTATTTGCTAAGAGAGCTGGTGGAGAAAAAAATTGGGTGAATTATTGAAACATCGGAATTGTAATAAATGTAGTCCTCGAAGAGGAATCGTTGAAAGAGCGGGCGGTAATGTATCCCCAGACTTCAGAAAACACTTTAGACACTTCACAGGCGAGAGAATTGGCTTCAGGCGATTGCTGCACAAAATTCAATAACATAGCCACATTGTCCTTTGCTAATTTTTTAATATAAATGCACACAAGTAATTATTTTTAAGGAAAAACTTTTTTTTATTTGAAAAGATTGAAAGGGAAAACATACTGTTTGTAGGCAAGTACCAAAGGTGTAAGCAAAAGAAAATGTAAATGTCACAAACTTAATTCCAACCATTTGTAAATTTCGAACCTAGCGAGTAAAAAAACTGGACCTGGACTTCATGCAAACAGAACCGAAGCAGAACAGCGACACGACCGGCGAACCGGCGAGAAATATTTGAGGTCCCAGCGGTGACCTCCGGGGAGCAGAAAAGAATCACGCCCGAAAAAAAAAACAATTCCACTTCTGCGTGAAACGCGAAGAGCGGAAATCTCTATAAATGCAAAGAACGAACGAAGTAAAACAAAAGTAAACCGAATATACGATACAACTCGAAATGCATCGAAACGAAACCTATTATGCGAAATAACATAAAATGGCATAAAATAACATGAGATAATGCGAAGCAAAATCGTTACATGCAAATGCTTCGAGGTTGGAGTAATATGCGATATGTAAAAGACTATAAAACGTAAAAAACACAATATTTTCTACATTTAGACGTTTCCATCGGGGCGGATGGTTCATATTCACAA